GAAAACTTGACCATATTTATCGCATAGAATCGAGCAACAAATCATCACAGATGAACAAAAAACTAAGAGGCTTAACTACTCCTTAACACTAATATTCTGAAGACAACCGCAGACTGGCCTCGCTGATCAATAATAAGCGATAAAACCCCATGGAAATAGAAGATTACCCGTCAGGAAGATTATCAACGAAGGTGAGGAGCATTTTGAGTTTGGAACCTCCTTCCGAAGCCAAACCAGCGTGCATCTCCACAGCCATGGCGTCGACCACCTGCTTCAGCCTCCCAACAGAAGTCTCACAATCCTCCTCCAGCTCTTTTAAAACCCTAACCACTCTCCTCCATTTCCCTCTGTTCTGCACTCTCCGACCAACCACCCCGGCGGCCACTATACACGCCACCACTGCAACACTCACAGCCACTCCCACTACTACTCTCCCCATGTCCCTCCACGATCACTCACTCCGTCCAAAAACTCCACCGCAATCTCCTCTCCTACAACTCATTCCAACCAAGCAACACCGTCGGAACATGCATTCCGCATTCGATTCACTCCCCCTCCCGTAAAATCCTCGCCGCAATAACGTCGTTAAAACCACATCTCACTACTTCCCATACACCGGCGCCACCAAAGGCCTCTCCAGCATCTTCGAATCCAACCTCACAAACCGGTCGCCACCAAGAAAAACGGAGAAGGAGATTCAACAACACTCCGACAACCGAACCAGACGCGAGGGGATGGGTTTGCGAGGGAGACTTCGCAAATTGCTAGCAGAAGAAGCATAGGAAAGTGGATGGTCAAATACTTATAGAGTGATCAAAATGACCATTTTACCCCTAAAATATCTGGAAATTACTAAATTCTATTACAACAAAATTCCGCGGCGATTTTTCACCGTGCCCTTTCTTTTTTTATTAAATAAAAATTAAAAAAAAAAAAGTTCTTGTTTTATTTATATTTGCCGACTTTTCCATTTTCCCCCTTGTAATCTTTGTCCCCATCCATCCCCAGCCATTTCCACCAAGTGCCCCTGATTTATTATATAATTACCATTTTGCCCCTTCCTTTTTTTTTTTCTTAAAAGTCACCGCCCTTTATTTAAATTTTATATTTCATTCACATTTTATTTTTAAAAAATTGAAAAATTAAAAATTAAAGTTTTTTCTTTTTTTTCCTTTAGTGGGTTGTGGCCTATAAAATCAGTTGCAGTAATAATAAAAAATAATAATAATAATATAGACTGAAGAGGATAGCCATGGAAGCAAATTGATGGCACTGATTCTCTCTCTACCCATATAATAATAATAATAATAATAATGGAATTATAATTGAGAATTTTTTAAATGTCAAAGGTCCAAACAAATTGACTTAATAAAGAAAAAAAGGGGGAAATGTGGATATGGGGAGGGGCAGGATGGGAAAGAAAGGGAAAGTTGCTGGGGGAGGGAAATATAAATAAAGAAAGTTAAGGGGAGGAAAATCAAAAAAGGGAAAGCGGAGACGGTAGCTGCTTATTTGGAGGATGCGACGCCGTACTGCCAACTGTTTCACGCTAATAACCAGCTGGGGAGGAAAATAGAAATAGAGAAAGTTAAGGGGAGGAAAATGGAAGAGGGGAGAAACGGCGACGGTAGCTGCGTATTTGGAGGATACGACGCCGTACTGCCAGCTGTTACACGCTAATGACCAGCTGTGTGTGGCAGAAAAAGCAACTAATTCTGTACTGCGCTCTACCCTTCCTTTTCCAACGCCAAGATTTCTATAAAAAAAATTAAATTCTAAATTTAATTTCTATAATTTTAAATTTTAAAATTAAAATCTCGTAAATAATTTATAATAGTTTCTTCCCAATTCCAAAAATTAAAACAAAAATAAATTTACCATTTCACTTCTGACAAAATAATAATAATAATGCACGTTGTTGTAATTTACGTGCCTGCCTCTGCTGTCTTGCACTCCCACCTATTTTACCAACTGTTTTTTTAGTCTTTCAATAAAATTAATTGACTTTTTTAACCCAAATGATGAGTTGGCATGGCATTCCCTAACCCCAACCGTTGCATGTTTAAATTTAATTTTAAATTTTGTATTAAAATTCTCTTAATTCTTTTATTTTTACTTTTTACTTTTTATCTAATATGCGAATTATTACCCCTTTTTTTTTTTTTACCCCTTTTTTTTTTTACCCCATTTTTGAAAAGTGAAGGTTAGGAATGATCTTGTTTAATTCTTTGGCATATTTTTCACGTTTCTTAAAAATCACATTCAATTCTTTGGCTAAAGTTTTCAACTACCAACTTCCTTTTGTGTTTCAAATTTTTTGCTTTTGATTTTAAATTTATTTTTTAAAAATTAACGATGTTACTTTTACGTTTATAAGTTTAATTTTTTATATGGAGAATTTTAAAAATAAAATAATTAGATTTAATTGATGGATAACTCTTTCATTTCAAAAAAATTAAACCTATAAATATTATTTCTACTTATGAAAATTAGAAAGAAAAAATATATATAATATTTGTTTTCTTCACAAAATTAAAATGAAAATCATTGTAACTAAATTTGCAAGGCTTCATTCCCTTTCCAGACTTTCGATAGTAGACTTCCACCTCACAGTTTTTAAACTTGCCTGCACTACAATGATCCAATCTCTTGGCTCGCACACTATACTGTATTTATCTCTGACATCAGTTGTACTACATCGGTTAGTGTCTAACTCTGATAATATTTGTAACAGCTTAAATTTATCACTAGCAAATACTATTTGCTATAACCCATTACATATCGTCACCAGTTTCACGATTTTGAAAATATGTTTGTTGTTTAGCCTTTGTCCACTAATGTCTTGTAGTGTCTGATGACTAAATTTGATACAATTTGTAACAACTCAAATCATATACTAATAGATATTATCTGCTTTGACCCATTACGTATAATTATTAACATTACGATTTTAAAACGCGTATATTAGAGATAAATTTTTATTTTCCTCGAATATCGCAAACGTTAGTTGATAATATATAGAGGTGTTAAATTATGTTTGGTCATTATAAATATTATTTTAAAAATAAAGCTTACATTATTTACTTAATTTTGGTATTAGATGGACCTAATTGGTGTAATTAATCCACGATATAAAATGAAGGGATGCCCTTGATTCGCACTTAAGGAGCTAAATCACGAAAAATGAGACAAAAATGCGTCTCGAAGTTGGTGCGGGAACGCGAAAGCATTGAGTTGGCAAATAAATCCCAGCCGTCCAGATTCAATAATGAAGGATCGTACGGTGGGCTTTTGGGTTAGTTGGTTTCGATGGAGCCGATTGTCACCAACTAAACCATGATTTAATATGTTGATAAAAAAACAGTTTTTATTCGATGTTTCAAAAACATTTTTATTTTGAATTTTGAATTTAGTTTTCATATTACAATGCTTTTCATTTTTCATTACTACTTTATTTTTGTCATTTACGTTAAAATAAATAAAACAATTAATTAATAACAAAAACTTAACAATTTTAAATTATGTTGGATGACATTATATTATATATTTGTATATAAATTATTAAGTTGTTTTATAATATAGATTAAAAAGTGATTTAAATGAACCCATTAATTAATTTTGACAGTTAGTAAATTAAACAACTAAATTTCAACCATGAAAAGGAGATTAGGAGTTGTTTAGTTTAATTTAATGTTAAATCTTGACTTAAAAAGGGCTATTTCCGACCAATGAAAGTGCCAAAACTTTTGGTCAAAAGAGGGAGAGAGAGAGAGATGTTTGTGGCTGCTTTTCTTTGCTTTTATGTCTCTTTCATGAGCATATTTATGGCGGTGACTAATTTCCATTGTCACAACTCGCATCTTTGACCTTTATTTATTTAATTAGTTAATTAATTAATTAATTACTGATTTTAATACATTATTTACATGTTTAATTCGAGAGAAAATAAAAATAATAAATAACCTAAGTTTATTATTTTATGTTTTTCTAATAATTTGAATAAGAATTTAAATATTTTTTAAAATATGAAAAATCATTATAATTAAAACTTTAAAGTTTAAATAAGAGCTTACTTTTTTAATTGTTTGTGAGTTTTTTTATTTTTTTATTTGTTTATTTTAGGGAAAGGAAATTATATTTATTATTTAAGGGAAGAGCTATAATTAAAATTTATAATTACGTCACCTTGGACAGTCAACATGGGCCCACAGAAACATAGAAGGTGAATCTTACCTAATTCACCTTTTTATTCATTTATTTCTTTATTTATTTCACTATCTCCATTCCTTTCGACCAAAAGCCAGCTGTGACTTTATAATTTTCGCACGTGACAGTTTATTTTTTTTAATATCAAATAATTTAAAATAGGATGAATTTTGTTTTAAATATTTATTATTCTTGTTGAACTTAGGTAGCCCTAATATTTGGTATACAAACTTATAAATCTAATTTATATTTTATTAAAAAAATATTTAAAACTGAAATTAAAATTTTAGAATTTATTAGATTTGAAATTAGTTTTTTTATAAATTGATTTTTCATAAATGTATTAAATATAAAATAGGTCTTTTTTTTTGTCGAGAACTTAATATAATGAATTATTTTGTTATATTTACAATTATTTACTATTGTATTTTCTTTTGTTTTATATGGTTTTAATTATTCAAACTAATGTTTTGATAATAAGGGACTGTTAAGGTAACAGGTGGGTGACGGTGAAATGCTCAACAATGTCATCAAGCCAGATGTGACCATCCAGCCTATCTTACGTGTCCATATCAACACCGCCAAATATGTCCACCGTGGATGGGGGACCACGGTCATCTTTGCTGGGTAACAGCCTCAGAGGAAAATAAATGGATGCATATATATATATATATATAAATTGTTAAAATTATTGGAAATGGAAGAAATAATTGGAGAAATGTACGTTGGGAAAACATTTTGAATATTTATTAATTTAAATAAATTCAAAGTTTAAAGGTGATAGCCACATGGTAATTTTGTTGACTCGTTTGCACGAAGGGGCGATGCCACGTCAGCAGGATGATAAACTGATAATGGGATTGAAGAGGACTTGTTATTACAGGGAACTTGCCGGTGCGGAGAAGAGCGGCAAACAATGGCGGGAGCTTTGAAAAGCTTTTCTCCGATAGCCATGATCAATGTCGATACAGAACTTCTGGTCCAATTGCCTCAGAATGATTGCAATTCTAGGGTTTTGGTACTCGGAAGCACCGGTCGGGTCGGAACCTCCATTGCCATTGCTCTCTTCAAGTTCTCGTCATTGGCGGTCGCAACAGGTGATTCTTCTGTGTTTATTTTAACTCGGTGAGTTTCATTTGTAGGTAGGTTTGAATTTGACTTATTTCGATTCTTTTCATTTCTGTATCTCTAAGTTATTCCTTAAAGTTGGTTTATCCGGCGTGTTCTCTCGTTTAGATCCTTCTCCATTATGAAACTAAACTGTTGTTTACCGATTGTTAATCTGTGGATTTCGAGCCTTTTCTAAATTGTGATGCATAATGATATAAGGTGCGGCGTGCTGTGAAACGGAAAAAGGTGCTGCTATGGTTGCGACAGTTGGGAGAAACTCTCGATTTGTTGAAGTCGATGCTGAGAATGTAAAATCATTGGAGGCTGCTTTGAGAGGTATACTGATTCTTCTAATTTAGTTTATGATTTCAACAGTCGTCTTTGATTCTATTTCTTCTCCAATTTCCATTTCGTGAGTGAAATATGAAGCTCCTAGTCATACTGTGAGCTTTTCCTCCTTCAAATGGAGTTTTCAATTTAAAACTTAGCGGTCAAATTACAATCCAATAGTTTAATATTCTGAAACATAAAGTTGTACCCACGAGGAAATAATTTCATACATAAAGTTTTACCTTCGAGGCTACGAAAAGAGTTGTGTGAAATGCAAGAGATCGCTGTTCAAGGAATTTTCTCTTTATCTCAAACTTTGAATAGCGGTATCCTTTTCCTTTCTTTGTTATCATTATTATTAAAAATTCTCTGTAATTTGCGTTGCCTATTTATGGAAGTTCCAACACACATGGAGTCTCCTGCACCTGTTGACGCCTTTCTTTTTTATTGTTTAAACTACACACCGTTATTACTCTTTTTTAAAGTTTTAGCTCTGAGTCTCTGACAAATAACATGGTATTGTCTCTAGATGTCGTGTATGGTTAATTTCACGACCTTTTTTTTTGTTGACTCCAAAGACTGTCAAGCGACCAGAACTTTGGTGGTTCTGATGAGCTTTTGACCTTGGTGTAAAATGCAGATGTAATTTAATATAATATCATGGTTTATTTATAATAAGATTAGTGAAATTACATGTAGGGATCAATTCCTCACCCCCCTTAGTTGTTTTTTATTTTCTTACCATGGAATTATTTTGTAAGTAACTGATTTTTGTGGTCAAACAATTTAAAATGAAAGTATTATACATACATTTGCCCCTTTTGATTTATGAAATATGTCTATCTGGAACAAAACACGTGAAAATCTTGCACCCTAAACTAAGGGCATTCAAATCTTTAACATATTGCCACCAGGGGTGCTTAACTGAAATCTTTAGCTGTTACTACAGATGTAGATCCTGTAGTTCATACTGCTGGGTCATTCCAACAGACAGAGAAGTGCACCGTACTTGAAGCTTCCATAAATATCCAGGAAAGAGCTGCATTTGCATTAAAAATCCTGCTTTTATGATCATCTATTGATGACGTTCTTTGTCTATCTGCATACAGCCTACGTTGGTGCTTGTGATGATACAAACTATTCACGGAATGCAAAAGCTTTCAAGAATAAAGCTATGGAGGCAAATATTCCAGCTATTACAACTGCATTTATCCTGGAGTGAGCAATGGTACATAATGTACTAATCGTGCACTTTTCTTATGTGGATAGTTCTTATTATGTGGTGCTGCTAAATCTATTAGATTGAACGCAATATTCAACCAATTCATTTTCCTTGCACAAAGTATAGGAAAGATATTGTGTAAGCTAATGGGCGAGTGGTAGGTTGAAGTTGAAGTTTAGTTTTCATGGGCAATAAAAGCGACATATTCAAGTCAATGCTTCGTCTAACTGACAGTCTTTTCTGTTTCACCGAGCCAGTAATGGTGGCAGAGCTAGTACGTGCTGGAGAGATGAAAGCAGGGGTGATCCCGATAGGCTAAAGAGAAGTCCCTGATAATCATGCAACTAGTGAGTAAACCTCACGACTGATGAAGCAACTTTTCCCCATCACTTATAATTCAATACTGTACTTGTACGAAAGGAGGTAAACAAACTCCCCATGCCAACAGAGAATTAACAATTTATAATCTTCCGGATTTGGTGTATTCTTTAATAACCTCTGTATTTCCGTCGAGGAACCTCTGTATTTCACGATTTTATATGAAAATGGAAGAAATCAGGGTCAAAAGATTTTGATTTTTAATGCCGTCATGTTTTATATTCAGCATAACCTTCAGTTAAACTAGAAAACTTTGAGGTCGTTAGTATAACTAATTATAAAAATTGATATGGTGCGCTTTCTTCAGCAACTAAGCGTGAATTATTATCTCAGATTCTACCTGCACTGCAGGCAATGGTGGTGCTGGTCCATCTATATTAGCTACTAGTTTCTTGCTGCTGGGAGAGAAGGTGGTCGCCTATAATAAAGGTTAGTGTCAAAACTGAAACTTGTTTGTCTATGGAATATTCCAGCACTTGATGATTTTGCTGGAGAGCGTGTATCCATGAGGGTGAGAATCAAATTTCTTATATTTATACACACAAATTTCTGGTGAAAGAAGACATAGCTTTATCAACCATTTGATAATTTGATTTCTGATTTATCAGGTGTTGGAAGTAGTTGATTTATGAAGAATGCCCCTTTTTCTTTTTCTGTTTTTGGTTTAATTCTGATTAGATGAGGCTACTACATGGATAGCAGGTGACGAGAAGGAAAGTCGTGTAGTTTATGTAAGAATGTGATTTCTCTGGGCACAGACATGATTTTAGAGAATTGCTTTCAACAATGAAAACAGGTATGAATCTTCAATTTCTTCTTTGTTTCTAGAAAGTATCTGACATTTATTAAAAGAAAACAATGACTACTTCGTTGTACTCACACTATAGTATCTGAAATTTTTGGAAAGTGATGGTGAGAGGAATGGCATTTTTCAAGATGTTTGTGAAGTGCAACAAATTTCCAATCACAGTTTTCAAAACAATTCTTTTTTCTGGATAATGTTCTTTGGAAGTTCACTCTGGATTGTGGAGATTTTCTTTTTCATTTTGAAAAATCAAGAATATCATAGCTTTCCACCCAATTAACTCCTAAATTAGAAGTTTCATCTCTAAAAAATCCATTATGTAAGATTGGCTCAACTTTGAGAAACAATAGATAGAATTTCAGTTCATTCTTCTGTTTGTGAGGTAGAAAGATGATGTCCACTAAGAACTCATTATTTGTTATATTGTCTTAGCTTTGATCATCATCCCTCGTTCTTATTTGACCAAAAACCAATTATTTAAAAGTACATTCTAGATGGAGAAAATAAAATCACGCCATCAATCAAAAAGATTGTGCTAATCACCCAGATCCTGTGAATCAAGAATCAAGTAGAACACTACAAACACTAATAATACAAGATCGAAAACCTTCAACAACGAGCGAAAGTCTAAATTTAGTTTCAAAAGCCAAAATTATCTTGATAATGTATGTTCCCAACCAAGCTTAAATCTATCAAACACAACAATTTCTGAAGTGGTATTCTTGAAATTTCATTCCAAAATATCATTTACAACGTGAACTACTCATGTCAAAGGTGTTCACAGTCAATCTAATGTTCTCTTTTTCTTCGTTTCTTTTTCAGAATACACCATTCTTTAAAAAACGAAGAGAACAAAATCAGACCACATATAGTCATCAGCATGAAGATCTGGAATAGTACTTCGTCAGCCACAGATCAAATTCGACATAAACGTAAAAAGAAGAGGGTACATCGAACACACGAAAATGTTATGCAGAAAATGGTAATTACTGGATTGTTGAAGCTCTAAACTGTAGTAGTTATCCTTATTCTTGTGTTAGCATCCTGTCAGAGACTCAGCCAGCCATTAGATGTTGTGACACACCTGTTTACTCATCTCTTCTCTGTCTGTACATGGCACTGAACAACTTCAAACTTCCTCTGTGGAACACCTACATATTACTTCCTTTGTGGCATCAAGGTTGTTGCGTTAAGAATCATGCCTCCACCTCCTTTTCAAGATTTAGCCATCAGGAATTCCCATGAGCCAATAGTCAACTTTTGGCTGTCTCACCCTGAGGGGACAAACTGCAGCTGGATTTCTTGATAGAATGATCAATTACTCGGTGCACCCAAGCCATTTGAAAGCCTGAATTATATCCTGATGTGTTCGCATAGTTCTTATGGATACCTGGTTGATCGAGTAAATTCTGATCCACTGGTTGATCGAGTAAATTCTGATCCACGAGAACCATAAGATCTCCATAGATCTTGCCACTGAGGCCTAACACTATTTCTTTCAAACTGATGACCTTGATGAACATCTGTATGTGATCTAGGGGTGCTGCTTGCATTGCGTTTCTTTTGGGCAATTCTCATCTCTTCTTCCGCATCATATCGGGAGCGCTGAAAAGACAGATCAGTTTAGGCTACAATCATCTGATAAAATGTATTGAGCTCGATAACATAGCCTAACACGATATGCAAGAGCGACTCGTGTAAAACTAGAGTTGCCACTGGAGGCTGCCTGCCGTGGGGGTACTTCTAGATCTAAACAATGCATGGACATATTGCAACTTGAGGCAGAAAAGAGAATGAAAATAATGGTCAACAATGAAGAAACCTTTCTCTTGAAATTTCTATAAAAAAGTTGGGGAAGAACTCCCTTTTGGGTACCTTAATAGGATCTGAGAGTATTGCATATGCCTCTCCAATCATTTTGAAAAGTTTATCAGCATCCATGGGGACTCCTCCGGCTATATCCTTCCATAGCACGTTATCTCCGTTGTCTGCTCTAGCCAAGGACTGACCAGCCTAAACGAACGAACAACCCATATTAAGAAAGCACAGAGACAAATAAGCATATCTTCAAAGTACACAAAATTAGACCTTGTCTGGATGGTATCTGAGAGCAGCTTTCCTGTATGCCTTCTTAATTTCAGCTGAAGATGCAGATGGATCAACTCCCCTGCCACAAAGGTAAATTACCGTTATTCTCATAACCTAAAATTAAAGGACCTTTCTCAGAATTCCCATCCTACTGGGAGGGGAAAGAGGGATGTCTTTGTTTCCTTTTATTATCTGAGTATTCGTTAAATGATGGGTGATACTTACAGAATAAGGTACATGTCCAATGGAATTTCCTTTCTCGACTCTTCTTCAACTTCTGCAAGGTGGAGATGAGCTTGTCTCAAATCATTTGCACTGGTACTCGATCTATCGGAATTTCCATACTGATAGGTCTTCTCTAATTCCTTAGAAAAAAGCAATATAAACTTCTGGAGATCATTAGCTGCTTGACCATAGTCTCTAATCATTTCATACAAAGTGGCCCGTCTAGAAATTGCCTGTGAATATAAAAGCTCTATCAGAACATACATGTTAGTGTTCATCTATAATGGTACTCTAATTTTTCTTTGAGAAACCAAGAAGAATTGAGGGATATTTATGTTGACAGCTCGGTGCCCAGTATAAACACAACAAAGAGAAAGCTTACCTTGAAAAATTCTTCATCAAGGGCTATGGCAAGACTACAATCCGCAATAGCATCAATAACTTGGCCCTGAGCTTTGTATGCAGCAGCTCGACTGTAGAAACAAAAAGCTGAGAAAGGACGTGACTCGACATTGCATGCCAAAGCAGCTGTGTAGTGTTCAATGGCTTCTGAATACCTTCCTGCCTGAAACGCTTCATTCCCAGCATCCTGCACTCATTTAAGGAGAAAAAAAAAGGTATGGGGATATAATGCAATTATGAGAGTAAAAGATATTAAGGCATTAGAAAACGATATATGGATATGATCAAGTTATGGCTGATAGGATGGAGGAGCCTTGAAGGCAGTCGACTTATGATACCTTGTGACATACGAGCTCCCTCATGGTAATGGCCAATGGTATTGATGATTCTAAAAACTTTCTTCCATTCCTGGAACTTAAAATGGTCAAGCTGGGAAAGTGAAAACATTATTTTTCCTTTCTTGTTTATTTTCTTTGTAATTTACTTCTTTATCAGTGAAATACTTGTTTCTTCTTCAAAAATATTAGGAAGCATAATAAATTACCCAATCACTGTAGGCACTTCCTCCTCTTGCATTAAAGAAGCCAGACCCTCCTCAAGTTTTCCCAGAAGGAAGTAGCACTTGAGAGTCAAGCGGCATCGCCAAATCCTAAAGTACAACTTCTTTGAGATTTCAGAAGAATCCAGATTTGAGGTCTGACTGACAATATCTTCTGAAGGAGAGTTCTTTTCAGCAGAATCTACGGTATGCTCACAAAACTGAATCACCTCCTCATATCTCCGAAGCTGCAGATTTTTTTTTAAAGAAAAGAAAGTGATAAAAACCCAGAAACCATTGAGTTATGATGCATGAAAATGAAAGTTAGTTTACTTGCAGTAAAATCTCATATGATCTCTCAAAAGAATTCAAAGGGAAAGGGAGGAAATCGAGGGAAAAAATACAGAAAACGACGATAACATTAGAGAAGTGCAACAAACCATGAAAAGAGCCTCTGCTTTCATTTCAATTAATTTTTCAGAGCATGAGCTTATTACCAAAGCCTCTGAAATTAATTCCAAAACACTCTGCATATCACTGGATGTGCTGTTTAGCCGAAGTTCGGCTAAACGTTCCATGCATTCAGACGCTTTCTGCAAGTCAGTAGAAACAGTTAGAACTGGTCATATAGATTACATCACGCCTATTAGAAGTGAAAGATCAACAAAGCAAAAAACCATACATACCTTCCTTGACAAGTTTGGTCACTATCAAAGGAAACAAAAAGGTTGAAAAACTATGGAGGTTCAATAATTGTAACGACCCAAGCCTATCGTATTGCCCTCTTTAGGCTTTCCCTTTCGGGCTTCCCCTCAAGATTTTAAAACGCATCTGCTAGAGAGAGGTTTTCACACCCTTATAAAGAATGCTTTGTTTTCCTCCCCAACCGATGTGAGATCTCACAATCCAGGGCCCAACATCCTCGCTGGCGTTCGTTCCCTTCTCCAATTGATGTGGGACCCTCAAATCCATCCCCCTTCGGGGCCAGCGTCCTTGCTAGCACAACGAACCCAAAAGCTTAAACTTTTTAGTTGATTGACCACTAAACACAACATCAGAGTTTGAGGCCCTTTGTTCAAACCCTATAATGTTGTTTCATCTCTAATAAATATTGATAACCACTAGCTAATAAATTTTCAAGCCTACAAGTGAAGAGTATTAAAGTATTGTTATAAGATTGAATTCCTACAACCCATCAGCTTACGCTTTTAGATTATCCATTACTTTGTTGCACAAATTGAACTTCCATGAAAGATGATAGTACGCATGTCAAAAGGAACAAAAAACTAAAAGTTATCACATCTTAGAAAGAAAATCTGTTACCTGAGCATTTTGCAAACCATCCGAGGCTTCCACTACAATTTTCCGATCCACATAGATATCATTCCCAGGTTGCAGGCACTTCTTGAAGAACTGTACCGCATCGTCAATTTCCCCAAGGCCAAGGTAACAGCTAATTTATAAGATAGTACTTCAGTGATATGTTATGAACATAATTTTCAAAATCTACTTCAGCGAGCCCTTACTTTGCAGCTCTAAGGTACACTTTATAAAAGCTGGGATCTATAGCAGCAGCCATTGTACAGTCACTGATTGCGTCTCGCAATCTTCCAAGAGACATTCTTGTTGCTGCACGATTGCTATAACAAAGCATCAAAGCCCTGAGACAGCTTCTAGATGACTCATCTTTTGATATACAATTCACTCCTCGAGTGTAATGGTCCTCAGCCTTGGATAAATCACCACTTGCATATGCCTGGTTGCCTCTGTAACATGTTATGCAAACAAAAGAGAAAGAATCTTGAAGCTGACAATAAAGTATAAAGGATATCTTGACACAAGAAAGTATAAAGGTAAGAAGAAATCACAAGTACCAAAAGCCTAACCTCAGTCTCCACTGTTCACAAGCCTCCTGGGCAGCAACGGTTGCTGCTATCGTAGAAACCGACTCTTGCTTCATCTCCTGGCCTTTGTTCATCCAAGAATCAACTCCTTTCTGACTCATTTGAGATGATATTGGTGAAGGATTCCCAGAAAATGTAACAAATTGCCCAGAAGAGGATGGCAATGAAACTTCAACAGCAATTGTTGGGGAAATATAAGAATCTTGACCAACTTTTCCCCAACTTTTCTTACTGTATTGGCGTTTGGATGCAGATAATTGACCTCGAGCAGCAGAAGAGGCAGCAAATGTAAAGTTTGATCTTGATCCATCCTCTGAATTTGAAGCAAAACTAAATTGATTCCTGCCATCGCTATCCTGCCTCTCGAATTTCACGCTCGAATTGGCTTCTGTTTCTTCTGAAATAGCAGCTAGATCACCACTCATATCCAACTCTTCATTTGCAGATTTGTAGCTTTCAGTATCCACCCCTGAAACAGATTCTTCTGGAGGACCTTCAGCGCCATGGTTTATATTAGAATGGTAAAGAGAGCCTTCACATTCTTTCACTTCAGTTGCAGAACAACCAGGTTCACTCATATTTAAGCTTTCTGTAGCATTAACCAGATCTTCATCTATAACATCATTTAAGACCTCAGGTATCGATTCATCAAATACAACGGAGTTGTTGTCAAGATTAAGCGATTCATTGGATGCCAGAGAATTTTCACGAGAAACTCGACCACGAGACAGTGTTTCGTGGTATGGCGAAACATCCATTGGTGAATAGAATTCAGATGCCTTGTGTCTCTCCTGAGTCTCCTGATCAACGCGCAACCGAAACATGGTAGAATTATATCTTTCACTCCTACTCTTTGGCCTGAATTCTCTAATTGGATCGCTCTGTGCACTGAATTGAAAATTTTCACTGATTCCAGCAGAAAATGTTTTTGTTTTTACAACTGGTGTCTTAAGTTCTACAATATCTTCAATGTTCAAATGCTGCATCTTGTTGGGGAGTTCTGAAACTATAGAATTACCAACTTTACTGTCCCACAAACCAGATTTAACCCCTTCATTTCTAGTTTTATGAATTCGTGCAGAATTACCTTGCCCTTCTTCAATGCTCAGCTTCCTCAAGTAATCCGGAAGCTTTGATTCAATGGCTTCATCAACATTCAATTTCTTCATTCCATCCAAAACTTCCCTCTCTGAGGTTGTGCTCCTATTTTCTCCAAATACAAATGGCTGATTCCCAATGACACCCGACTCAGATTTACCAAAGATAGAATCCTGACCCGAAAATGCCGCCGGAAATGAATTCCCGGTGAACGGCCGAAGCGTTTCCGGGACTGCCGTAGACCTCAAATCCAGGGAACTCGTTTGCCTCCTCACCTTCGTCATTCTCGCCCTCGTAATACCAGACTTCGATCGAGAAAGCGATTGCGTAACAAAACTGATATTGGAATACCCATCATAAGAATTCGATGACCCAGAAGCATTATCATGGAAGCTTGATGAATTCATGTCGTCTGGGGATTTAAAGGCTCAAGAACGCCAGTTTCCTCTCAATGCAGAGACAACGATCATGGCGGATTCAGAGCGAGTATGGGATTGAAATGGAAAGTGGGCAACAGTATATTTTGTGGACGGAGTTATTTCCTTGGGTTGGAAGGCAAAAAAAAAAAACGAAAGGAAGAGAGCGAAACAAAGGTTTTTTCAACAATCAATCACAGGTGCGACGCTGATAATGAAGCTGGTTGCCTTCCTTGGCTCTGCTTTTGATCTTTGTAAGGGCGCTTTCAATATCATGTGTTGTGTTGCAGCTCCAATCCCTTCATTTATGTCGCTTTCCATGTTTGGGGAGTCACCATAGGTTACTATAATTAAGTTTGGATTACATTATTTTACGTTTCTTTTTTACCATAGGTTATAACTAAACTAATTTAATTTGGATTACATTTTGTTCTTCCCATAGAGGACGATTGCGAGGATATGATCGTACTAACATCTTAGCTTCGAATATTTATATAGAACAAAAACCATATGACCCACTTGGACCCAAATGTCACAATCTAATTACATCCTACTATAAAGAGACACGTTCCATCCGATTGATTAATCTATGAACTCAGGTGACCATGTTATATTGTCATTTGGTAAATATGTTTGGCCGCCGGTTAATTACCAATTAATTTTTTTATTTGTTAAATTAATAAAAATACTTTAAATTTTGAATATTCTTAAATTTTAAAATAAAAAATATTCTTAAATTAAAAAAAATAAATATTTATTTTTATTTTTAAGATGAAAATCATTAATATTTTATTTTAAAATTCTCTCTTATTTTAAAAAATATCTTTAAATCGTTAAAAATTTAGAATTTAAATATAAATTTTAAACAAAATAAAATAATTGAGGATTTTTTTTATTAATCTAAAATGAGAAATTTAATGCTAACAAAGAAAATACAAACTAATAAGTTACTATAAATAAAATTTTATTGAATATATTATTAAGTTCAATTTTAGAGGTCATATTTATTGCAAATTATTGAGAGGGCGAAAAAGTCTATATGAATTATTAGTATTGGAGCAGATGTGGTGTGGGGCCACCATTTGGTCTAATATTAAGAGCTTCGGAAATTTTTTTATCCCAAAAAAAATTATTTTTGGTAGGAAAAAACATTAACTACAAAACATATATTTTTTTAGCTATTGGTTGGTCAAATTTTAAATAATAAATAAATAAATAAATAATTGGATTTTAATAATAATTAAACAGCATGCAAATAGACATTAATAATTATAGTATATGGTCATTAATTACACATTTCCTAGGATTCCCTTGTCTGTTTGCCCAATGTTTCATAGTATTCCTTTCTCAAGCTGTTGTATTCTTCACATAATCTCTTTAAACTTTCCATCTCTTCCCTAGAAGCTTTCTTCTCCTCCAACCACATTTTTATTCCTTCAATCTCCTTCTTCATCTCTTTAATTTTCTTCGTTTTTGCCTCAACCTCTTTCTGCAAGACCTCGAGTTCTGAACCTGCAGGCTTGAATTCTACATGCACAAATAAACATCGTATACTCTAATATTGTATTAAACAAAAAAATGTAAGAACTCGAAAAGGTAATATTTTTAGAGGTCAAAATTAATAAATAAGACACACCTGATGGGTCAATTTTCGAGCTGCTTGGATCCATTTATTCGCTAAAGTAATTTGCTTCGAGTGGAGTTGAGGAAAAAAAGAAAAACATTGGTTTAGGGAAAAATCTATAGCTCGAGTATCACAATCATTACATCATCTAAACATTCATGCAAGCTCAACAGAAAAATAACCTCCATCCTTCAATCACCCAAAATTACCATTCTAAAATGCGCCAAAATGCGCTAACATGCGCTAACAATTATTGCTCAAACAAAGTTTTAAAAATTGTATATTAAAATTAGTGGAATTATATAAAAATAAAAATATAAAAAAATTGCAGTTTATTTGGGCTCGGCCCATTAACGTTTTCGATGATATTAAACAGAAACAGCCCAACACGATTCTGAAATGGACTGAAAAAAGACGGAACACGAGGCATGCCTCGCACGTGTCATGTTTCAGACTACATTAACAAATAAAATTAAATTCATAAACTTAAAACCGTGTTTTAATTAATTATTTTATTTTATTTAATTAATTACACCATATTTATGTAAAAACATCACTAATAAAATATTAAATAAACTAAAAAAATATCATATAAACACAAAATATAAGCTTAATTCAAGTAAAATTCATAACTCATGTCCCGTTTCCCTTCGACTAGTTAAGACATATATTCTTAATCAAGAGACCAAATGTTCGAGTCCAGTTAACTCGAATCGGGATCGAGTAAAATTAAGAAAATAAATTAAAATTGAGCTTATAATTCAAACTCACCTTTCTTTCACCTTCCCTCTCCCAAGCAGCAAATAGGGTTTTTCTTCTTTCTCTTATGCGTTGTTGAGTGTGAATATGGGTGAGAAGAAAAGGGTTTATATCACATGAAAATGGCTCAGAGAGGGAGAGAGATTTTTCTTGATGGGGAAAGAAAATGAAGGGCCAGGATTTAAGTACATAGAGATGTTGGGCTAATGAAGGCGTATGATGGCAATCATCACTGCCTCGTTTTGTCTTCTACGGTGTGATGTGTAGCACTGAATCACACCCCCTGAATCTCTGTGTTTTTACTCTCTTGACTTTGTTATTTTTTTGGGCATGTAAGGCATCTGGATTTGCATTATTATTACTTCCAACGTTTATATATATATATATTTATATTTTTAAATATTTTTCCCTTTTTGTATATTAAAATAAATCAACGCTATTTTTCAACAAAAACTTTACGAATATACTTTAAAATATAATAGGAAGATAATAATATTCGTAATTTCATATACTTTAATTCACGTGTATTGTGTTTATCTAAGTGCTAGTTTGCTAGGGGTATTTTTAGGTTAAGATGAATTTGAGCCGGATTTTGAACTGTACTGATGTACAAATTTTTTAATTCAAACAACCCTTATTAAATGATAAACTCAATCCAATCTACTAATAATAATAATAATAAATTAATTAAATTGTTTTAATCGTTCATTCCAATTTAACTCATAAAAATTTTAATTTATATGAATTCAACCCAACCAAGCGGATGGATCGCAATAAATAATATAATGTTACCATAATGACGTAAATATTAAATATTAATTTTATTTTTAAGGATATTTATATAAATTTGGACTTTTTACTGAGCTACTATATCTGTAGCTTGGGTGGTCAACATTTTGTTAGGTATAATTGTTTGACCATTCGAAAATATTCTATTTAATTTTGTCATCTTTAAATTTAAGAATATTTATTGGCACGTACAATAAAGATTCTGGTCGATAAAATACTTTACATTAATAAAAGACTTTTATTAATTTTACTATTGTCGATAAAAATACTTATAAATTTTTTAAAATTTCAAGGATATTTTAAACTTTTAAATATACTATTATTATAATTTTATGAAAATGGTCGATTATTTACTTTTTGTTATTGTTTAAAAAATACACTTAAAATTTACAAAAATTTATTTATTCCCTTCAAAAAAAAAATAAACGTCGTATATTTTCATAAAAATTTTTTTAACATCAATGGACGAAAATTGTTTGATTTATACTCTATTAATTTTATTTATTTGCACACGTATATATTGACTTTTTTTTAAATAAAATCGGGAGTCAATTGATATACTACCACTATTATTTTATTATTTTTACTTGTAGAAATAGTTAGTTAATCAATTTATATTAAAAAAAAAAAAAAGAAACCACCGGAAAAGGGAATGCTGTTTGGTTTTTAAAAAACGACATGACGTGACTGGCAAAATAACGGGGTTTTTTATAATGCCATTTTCAAAGCATATCGTATTCACCTGACGTTGGCATTCGATGAGTCCGCATGCAATAAGGTTTATTGTCGTTTTCTTAATTTTATTGTCGTTTTATTCATTTCTTATACAATTTAAAAAATCAATAAAATGTGAAAATTACTCTTGATGGCCATATACTCCCATGTGAAAATTTCACCGGCAATCCGAAGAAGCATAATGCCACGTCATTTATTGACAACGTTTGACCTTCTAAGGTTTTGGGAACTCCGTTGTCCATAGCACATTCATAGTCATATACTCTCATGAATTTGTCCATAACGTATTCGCGTATATCATAAATTAGCAGAAATGGTTATAAAAAGTAATTTTGATATGGTTTCGAAAAATTAAAAACATAAATATATTACGATTTTTATAAAATTTATAATAACTTTCCCAAAAATTACCAATTACTAACACACATTTATAATTGAATAAATGGAAAATCTATAAATTTCGATTTAGAGATAAAAAGTAAATTTTATGAACGTGAAAATTTATAATAAAAATCAATAAATACAGTAATGGGTGAGTAAATACTAATGACAAATGTAATTTTTATGTATTTATAAATATTATTTTTATTATGTTATGGTGAATATGTTTTAGCAACGAAAAAATTAAAAATTTTAATTTTTAAAAATAAGTGTGAGACAGTTGAGGTACGGACAATTCGGTAATTAAGAGACATTCTCGCACGTGCACTGCATGGTGTTAGGGTAGCGATATTACCGAACAAGCACTTTTTTTTTTTTTTTTTTTTTTTTGTTTTTTTAT